GAAGGATTCACATGGAGTCGATGAGTCATCACCTTGGCACTTATTCCTGTGATCTTGGCTTGGGTCCTCGCAAAGACATCGGCATTGTGACGTAAAAATGAGCCCATATCATTTCTCTCAGCGTTGCTGAGCGATTCTCATATCAAGAAGTACTTCTCAACATTATCTAGGCTCAGGAGAATCTTCACCAAGGCCTCAGTAGACCGGTCGGCCGGCTCCGTGATGGGCTCGTCCACCCCCGGACGACCATTTTTTGATTGCTATTTGGCAACTATCGCATCGGGGTCACGCTCCTGATTCTGGCCGCTGACTCCCGTTTTCACCGCGACATAGAAACAACTTTTCGTCGAGGCTTGATCACCCCGGATCTCTATTATGCCTTGCGGTGTTGGGAACTTCATCTTCTGGTGGTAGGATGAGTGGACCGCCTTTATTGCATGCAACCACGACCTCCCCATAATAGCATTGTAAGGGGAGTCGGAGTCTACCACCACAAATTTCACTGGAGTGGTCACCACCCTCGCCCGTACCATGAGAGTGATTTTTCCAAGGGCAGGGCGCTGGAACCTTTGAAGCCGATGAGGGGGGTTTTTACGGGTTCCAGATCTCTCTGAGAGAATCTCATCTTGCGGAAGAGGTGATCGTACATTACCTCGGAGGAAGTGCCCGAGTCCACCAAGATCCTTTTAATGTCGAACTTCCCGAACCACAACGTGATCACCAATGCATCCTCGTGGGGGAGGACCACCCCACCAAGATCGGCATCGGAAAACTGGATAACCTCAACACCGCTCCGTGGCTTCTTAGGCGGCCGCTCATCACCCCTTTCGTCCACCCTGACTACTTGAGAGACCCTCTGCAACTCGCATAGAGGGAGTTGTATGTAGGCCTCTCGACTGTGCAGGCGTGTATAACATCAATCACGGGTACTACCTCAGCTGGAACCTTGGCTTGCTCCCTCGCCGACCGGCCGGGACGATCCCTGTCGATGAATTCACCGAGGTGTCCCTGTCGTACCAATTGTTCGAGGAAGGATCTATAAGTCTTGCACTCCTTCGTCAAATGACCGATATCTCTATGATACGAACATCGGAGGGCCGAATTCCTTATCGACGGGTCTCCAATCATCCTTGGGGGCCACCTGAAGTAGGGTATGTTTTTTGATTTTGGAGAGTATCCTGTGAATGGGCTCGTTGAATACCGTGTTCACTCCCTGGAAGGATAGGCGAGTTGGAGGTGGAATAGGCCCTCCCCTTCGGGACGACTGCTCCTTTTCCCTTTTCTCAGCATCGTGACCTTGCTTTTAGGCGCGGCGGACTCCTCCTCCGCCCGATCATATTTGTTAATCCGAGCCATCAAGTCTTTCATGTCTGCCGGAGCCTTCTTGGTCAGCGATTTGTGCAAATCAGTGTCTCGGGATAGTCCCAGCCTAAATGACGTTGCGGCCAATGGCTCCGGACATTCCTCCACCTCATTCACCTCATCCCAATACTAGACGGCATATTGTCGGAGTGTCTCTCCCCCTTTTTGCCTGAGCGTCAACAGAGCCCCGATGTCCTTTGGTTTCTTACTGCTGGTGATGAATCGAGCGAGGAAGAGCTCTGTCAATTGTCTCTAGGACCCAACGCTCTCGGGAGCAAAGTTCTCATACCACCTCATGCTAGTGTTCCCTAGGCTCATGGGAAAAATTCGGCACAACACCCTTTGATCAGTATCGTAAATTGACATCAATTATCTGTATTGTCGAAGGTGGTTCTCGGGATCGGTTTTTCTGTCATAGACTTTGAACCATGGGACGGTAAACTTCTTCGAGATCTCGGCCTCCCTGATAGCCCGGATGAACGACGAGATAACTTCGTCGGAGTAGACCGCGGGCTCATGGTTGCGCTGAGCGATGAAGGGGACCCCGGGATCCTTGGTCGATCTCTCCCCTCGAAGCCTTCGGGGAATAGACTCCGCTTGAGATTCAGCGGCATCGACGCCCTCGGGTATCTCTCGGCGTAGGTCCCACCTGGACAGACTTGTCTTCTGACCCGATTCCGACTTTCCCTTAGAGGTCGAGAACCCTCCTTGGCGGTCACACCCCTCGGGCGAGTGCCTAACCCAATCCTTCCTGGAGGGTCAACGCTAGAGGGGGGTCTAGACAGGTTCTGGCTGGGCACCTGGTCCCCGACCTGGCGACTATGCTCACCCGCGCTTGCTGACTGCTCGAAATCGTCAAGACGTTGCTGGACTTTGGCGTTTTTCCTTTTGAGTTGCTTAATGTGTTTGCCCATCCATTTTTCCACCATCTCTACGATGTCATGGGCCATGAGGTCACACCCCCAAGGCCCTGATTCATAGGGAGCGTTCTTTGCGAAGAATGCCCCACCCCATCTGATTGGCTCAATGAACCCAACTCCAGAACCATTGGAAGCCGGACGGGCTCTGCGTTCCTGGCCCGTACCCCTGCTCTCTCACCCTGAGATCGTTGTTCACCATTAGATGATCGCTACTGAAAAAAATGCTTTCGTTCCAACAGACAGTGCCAAATTGCACAGGATAATTCCTGTAATCGTGTGAGGCAGCGATCTCCCAACTGACGAACCTGAAACAACAGGGTCAGGAAAAAAGCGGGTCAGGTGTGTGCCCGGCTAATCCCTTCCGAAGCTTAAGTCAGTATAAGATCGAAGGGTTTTGCTTAATGCACTTTTTTTGGTTCGAGTTTGCGTACCTTTGTCCATTTTTCTGAGAAATATTTATACCTGAATTAGCAATGATTGCCAAAAATCTTCAGTCCCATTTGGACATCTCACATCTGACACACCATTCCTCGTGCAATGGGTGTTTTTCTATTCACATATCCTCCTATTGAATGCTAAAAAAATAGGGTAAATGCTCGGTCATGCGCCAAGTATTTATGCCACTACCCGAGTACCCAAATCCCCCAGATCGGCATCTGACACCAATTGAGCATTGAATACTCGGCGGGAACAGTTTCTCAAGAGAGCCGATCGTGTCGTCTCAGCGCATCAACCATTAATGCTTAACCATTATGACAGTAGGTTTAGACTCTCAGAGGGCAGGTGCTGGCAGACGCGCATTTATTTGCCTTGTCACTATCACTCATTCCGCCATAAATGCGGAGTCACATCGCATTAAATACGACGCTACCTATCGTACTCGGTCACTCCGTGTCATCATGCCTCGGCTTACTTCTCGGCATCTTTTGGACATCCCAACGGCTTCATTGTTTCACGTGTCAACCTGGGGGCTGAAGAATCACACTAGAGTCCCACCAGTATATATCACTACAAATATGTTTAGTACAGCCAAAGAGGTCTGCCCTTCATTGCTGCTCGACCCTACGATGCTGGGCATGTGCGAATCTATCGAGGCACATGGAGATTGGGCTCCCTCTATGTATCTCACACTCAGGAGTCTGCAGGATGTAGAGATAAGATAAGTACCATGCTCTTTATACTCAAATGGTGATTCAATATAATCTAAGCAGTTACTGTTTACTGACATACAAAAAAAAAAGGAAATGCTCATTGAGTATAGTGGCTGCTACTTTTCATTTGAGAATGACTTGAAAGTAGCCATACTTGCACGGAACTGATCTTGAGCCTTGTCTTCATTATGATTTTTATCTTCTAAGTATAACAGTATGTGACCCACCATCTGCTCTTGATTTGGTGTAGATTTCGTCGGTCTCTCATGGTATTGATCTGGACTTTGTTGTTACAATTCACACATGATGACACAAGTCACGCGGATCAAATGAACGAAGAACAAGAACTTGGTAACTCTTTTTGGATACCTATCCAAAGAAGGAGACTGCAACAAAGGTACAAAGACACTCAGCGTCAACCTGCAAACTGTTCGGCACAGCTGAGGACTTGCTCGGCGCCACTTAGGAGTTGATCTGCACCAATACCTTAGTGCCATTAAATGGTAGTAGAATTGGTGCCATTACACAAGGTGGTCACTCGGCGTCAGCAAAGAAAGCTATCCTTGTCACCATCAAAACCCAGTGGTGGCTTGGGTGGCCCGTCTATCATCGGTGTCTTCCATGGTGCTCGGGCACCCACTAATGTGTAGCCAAGGAGCTGCTCGCCTTGTACAAATGGACCTCAAGCTTCAACTTTTGGTCACAATAAAATGACTACTCACCTAGACCCAGAAGTTCTATGTATCACCTGGATGCAATTTCATCCAAGGAAATATGCTCGGCACCGCTTGGAATCTACTAGGCGTCATTGTAACACCAACCAACAATCATGAATAGATTTGAGAGACCGAAAGCTTCGCATTATCTAATGATCTTCGAGTAAGAGCAGTAGACACCTTCACCAACCTTTAATGCTCGGCCTTATCGAAACAAAGCTCGGCACTCAGCGCCAAGAAGAGCTGGTCACTTCTTATAGATCACTCTGGTGATCGGGGAAATTTCTCTTAACAATTTATGAGTATGAAACCAAGTTTGGACAGAGCCATGATGTAGCCTCAAACAAACTCCTCACAATGGGGGTATCTCCAGAACTAGTGATACTCGGCGTCCATGACTGAGGCGATCGGCATCAAACTCAGAAATATTTCAGCAGTCTCATTCCTCGGACACTACTATCAAGCCCTTGGTCGCTGGTTGAGGAAAGAAATTTCAGCTCCGTTTAGGCGCCTACCAGCAACTGTTAACTTCTTTAAACAATCCAACAGAGGTCTTTGATCGGGGCATCATTATTAGAATTCAAAAGCTGCTCTGAATATGATCCTTCAACAAAGCTTTAGTTGGGTCTCTGCTCTTATCTCTTTTTGTAGCTGAGAAACTATTGACAACACTGCTCTTTGCTTCAGCTAGATGACGCCCGTCACAGAGCACTGCACTCGGTCCCTTCCACAGCTAGAGTGGCCATCGGCGTTCCGCCCAAATAATCATCAGAACATTGTGGTGTTTAGTAAATCACTTTAGCTGCAGCAGCTATCCAACTTTGATCCATGACAGACAAATGCATTGCCAGATATTCATAATTAGCTATTGGGTTTCTACGAGCAGGGCACCCATGGATGGCCTATCACAAAAGCGTGATCAGTCTCACCTACGTACGTCATTGATTCTCGGTCTACCACTTAAGATGGTCAGAATGTCATTATGTGATCCCTCCCTGAGATTATCAGCATTCCCGACAAGCACAAGCAGAAGGAATAATCGGGCTTCAAGGAGCAATTCGTTTGGGCATTCTATCGAACACCAGCAATGCACTGATGTAGGTCCTTTTCCAGTGCATCTGTAGATTCTCAATCGACGTCGTTTGCACAAGCCACGGTCACTTAGAAGTTCCCTGTGAATCCGGTTAAAAGATTATGAGCAAAGGATGGAAGCCGACGACTTTAACCACAGCTCCTCGGAGATCGGTGGAAATACTTCGCATCCTCATGTATCCACAAATTATGTTGGAAAAGTGAACAGTCCATTACCTCAGACCGAAGGAGGTAGCCGGCGCAAGACTCTCTCAGCTCATTTGAATGTGTTGATTTCCTCAGCATGCTAGAGCAGAGACTTACATCAAGAAAAAATTCATGGGTTTAGGTAGAGAATCTGACTTTCGATTGGTTCATGTAAATCAGAGCTTGAGGAGTTTCATGAGAATGAGAGCTGAAGTGAGAGGGGCAGAGCTCCCGACCCCTCACAGTTTTCTATCACCTAGCAAATCAAGAATTACTGCCGATTGATATCATAAGCATGATACTGGGGGTCACAAACTCAAGATAAAAGCCCATATGTCTATGCACTTTGGGAATCTGGGACAATAAAACGGGTAAGCCTTTGGCCAAAGCACCAAAAATCCTAATATAGGCATAAAATCTCTTGGAGACAGGTTCCAAAACTTGGGCTTAGGAGTACTCTTTGTTTAGGGAGATAACACAGGGTTTAGGATTTGACCCTGAACACGAGTAAGCCTTTGTTCGCCAAAAACACCAAAAGTCCTAATGTAGACATAAAATCTCTCGGGGACTGGTTCCAGAACTTGGGCTTGAGAGTGCTCCTTGTTTAGGGACATGACATGGGGTTCAGGATTTGACCTTGAACACGGGTAAGCCTTTGCTCAGCCAAAGCACCAAAAGTCCTAATGTAGGCATAAAACCTCTTGGAGATAGGTTCCAGAACTTGGGCTCGGGAATACTCATTGCTTAGGGAGGTGACATGAGACTTTGGGTAAAACCCTAGACATAGCGCAATACAGTTCAAGGGAGAGCTTGACCCAACGTCAACATTTATATTCGAAGGTCAGACGTGAGGACCCTCTCAAGAAGAATCTCATTGAATAAACCTTGAATTGCCTAATTACGGGTTTGATATATTCAAGACCCAACTCGACAAGGTACACTTTTATTTATGTATATTCGGCCTTTGTTTACAATGATAGACTTATGTTGATCTTTTTCAAGGGTCATGGTTATTTGGTCCCTCTTCAGAGGATCGACTATTATTGTCCTCTTTAGGCTCACTCATGCTTGACGTTTGTCACATCCGATTGTAGTAACCTTTCTCGGGGTTCAGAGATTATTGTATTCTTTGGGTGAGGTTGATGTCTAGTTCTGATTGTCCTATTCAGGATTCGACTCTCTCTAGTGGCTTGTTATAGTTATATTTGGTATTCCATTACTCAACCCATCAGCAAAACACTTCATTATTGCTCGGCCTCAAGAAACACATTTGAGACCTTTATATTCGGTCTCTCTTCAAGAAATCTATGTATTCGGTCCTTCAATGGCTAGGTTTATTCAGTCCTTCCTCGGGTCTATTGGGTTGCTCTTCGGGGGCAAAGCTTATGTGGTCTCTGTTCAAAGGATCAGTGACATCTGTTATAGGCCTTTCTCGTTAGATCTATTTGCCTTGGAAGGGTCTCATGATTGTCTCATTCACGGCTCAACTATTATTATCCTTCTCGGGATTCTATTATGAGGGTATCGGTAAGGATTCAATTATCTTCATCCTTCGAATTTGGCCTCTTAATAAGACACTTTGTTATTGCACGAGTTGACGAGTTTCTAATGTATTCATTGTTATTGCTTATGCTTAGAACTGTTTATACTGTGGAGACGCCATCTATGGCACCAAGCAGATGCATTGTTCTAACTGTTGAGATATCACTCATTGCTCATTGAGTATTTGAGATTCACAGTTATCAATCTCGGTATTCTATTATAAATGACAAGTGTATTCAACATGTGCATGTATTATTGTCTATGGTATTCGGGCTCCGTGCTCGCTTGACAACATATAGTGGATCTCGGCATATCTCCCTCATGTTGCACCCCACAAAAAAAGGGGTGTGGATATTATCTCTTGAGACATGAGTATTCTGCATAACTTTCATCTCTTTCTAGATATTCAAAGGAAATAAAAGCTAGGGGGCAATTGATAGAACATTATTTGTCAGGTGGGTCCACCAGTCCCACTCCCATGAAAGAAGTATAAATAACTTAACAAATATCACAAATAGGACTTACTACAATAAATATATGGCAGGTAATGAGTGTTTTGGCAGATTAGTCTATGCCTATTTCCCTGTATTAACGGTTGCACTGTACATGATAGTAAGTGACTCTTTAATTTTCTCTGTATATATGGGTGAAGACCCAAGAAAGAGGGAGCCTGAAGTATGAGCACCTTGGCTCCATACTCCACACACACACCTATATTATTTCTAGTTTATTCACTCGCCTATTGAGGTATTGATCGCGATACTGACTTAGGCATCGAAGGGGGCTCCCCTAACTCAACGCTGGGGTCCCTTTGATCTCTTTCTGTCTTGCAGTTCATGGATTGGATGATACTCGAAGACTAGGGGTGCATCTCAACTCATTTAAGTGATTGTGCGGATTTTTACCCGTACATATAGCAAGGGCTATGAACAAATCCATTGTCTTTCTTCTTCCAAATCTTATGCATCATCCCGATCATTGTTGTTTTGGATGAAAATCGTGAAATGGTTAGTCCTAATATTGCTCAGACTCTCCTCTACAGATTTTGCCCCAAATGTGATGTTAGATCTGATAACATCTAACATGGCCATGTGAGTTGCACATGCTTGAAATCTGTTAAAAAATTGAAAATTATCAGTAGCAGGGATCATTTAAAACCAAATTCAAAATGTAAGGATTTAAAGTATTGCAATTGATACATTAAGGATTAAAATAATACAAAATACAAACATTAGGGACCGTCACTGTATTTAATCCTATATGTAAATTATTTATGCCATGGTTAACTTAGGTGAGGATAATATTGGAACGCACTTCTTGAACTTAAATGAGAAGTTGTAGTAAATGAGCAGTTAATATTATAGGCCAGGTTGAATAAGGTTGAATTTTTTTGAAAGGTGGTTAGGGGCGATTAGGCATAACGACTTTTTCAGAACGTCATCTTTAAGTTTTCACTCACTATAAAATGTTGGATTAATAGCACTCTTGGTTTCTAAAGTATACACATATTATCAGTTTAGTTCATAAAGTATTTAATTCGTGTTTAAATGATCTTTACATAGACAGACCGTTAAGTTTTTGACGGAATAATGGATACATCGTACCGCCTGAAAGAATAATATGTGGTCACTTTCATAAAAAAAATTAACGAATTTTTTGATTAAAGACCAAAGTGACATGAATTAAAATTTTGAGAACTAAATTAACAAAATTAATATAATAAGTACCAAACTGATAAAACCAACTTACTTTAAGAAATAAAAAAATAAAATGCTATTAACCCTTGGTTTGATAACTTATGATCAACTGGAGTTAATAAGCTCTCAATTCGTCTAAATCATTATAATTGCACCACTACTATGAATGTGCATTCTAAAGATGTTGCCCCATCAAATGCATGGTCCTTAAAAAAAAAAAAAATCAGTCAACACCAATATGACTTAGTAGAAGCACATCCAAATAAGAACCTTTAGATCCGTTGCTGTTCCTCATTCAGGGTAAACTAAGGCTTAATATATATGATCAACCACCAATCCTTTGAACCGTCAAGGATGGTCCGGTGGTTAGATTTGTCTTTTGATAATAACGAGATCTCAAGCTCAATCCCTTCTCGCACTATCTAAAGATTAGTCACTCTTATCTCTTTGGAGACATGCTCTAGATCAACTCAAGGTATGATAGTCAGTCGCTGAATTTGAGGAATAGTCAATACAAGTTTGAACACCCTACAACCAAAAAATAAAAAAAGAGTAATATTACGTGAACTTAAAAATTATACTTAAAAATTAAACTTGATAATCTCAATCATTGAATAGATAGTGGAACCCAATAAATACTGAGACCATCAAAAGCTATGGGTTGGACTTGGTATTAGAATATGGGCTTATATGCAGTTGGACTTGAAGCGAACTCATAAACTCAAGCGTCAAGATCACCTGTCTTCATCATAAGACAAGGTTTCTTCCAAGTTGAAGACAGAAATATCATGTCTACATAATCAATAATGTAATTTGTACTTAACTCGGGGCCTAATTTGGAATCCTAACGCATTGAGACCATTGAATTGACAATGAATTTCATTTATTATTAACACCAGGCTCACTGTAATTCAATAACCACATTAAATTAAATTCTTATTTTCAGTTCTCAAATTAAATTTAAATAACATTGCTCATATATTTAATCTGAACACACCTTATTTTGTTGTTCAAGTTTTCCTTTAGTGACCAAACCATAGGAAACCAACACTAATTCCGATTGTGAAAAAATTAGGTGACAAAATTCATTTTTTTTTTAAATAAATGATAGTTTGTCAGTGGAGGAATAGATGAGTGGTTATTGTTGAGACTTAATTTATTATTTGATTGAATAATTGATTTATTTTGAATAGTTATGATTTTTAGAAAGTGTTATTATTTGAGTAGTTATGACCATTAAGAAAAAGACAGATGTGATTATTAAAGAAAAGACATCTTTTTCGAAGGATCATGACTATTAACCAAAAGGCATCTCTATAGAAAGGTTATGTTTTGAAATTAAAATGCGCCTATTCAGAAAGTTGTAACTTTTGGAAAAAGACACTAAAAAATCTATAAATATGGTCCTAAATTTCATTCACATATATACTAGAGTCTTGTATAACTCATCTCTTTTCCGTCCTCTCTCACTCTCTCTCAAAATAAAAACTGTTTAAGAAGATTTCTTTTTAAGTTCTTCAATATTTTTAATTGCAATTTTTTACCCAAAAATTTTGTTGTATCCTAAAAGTAATTTGTCAAGGATCTTCTACCAAACTCTTCGAGTAGAGCAACTATCATTTCAAAGAAAACGATCTTCCGTTCCTCATAATCTTGATTCTATTTTATTTTCAATATGTTCAAATTAATTTCTCAACAATTATCAAATATACATGATAGAATGTGATCATACGTTAAATCTTTTATTTCTAATTAAGTTATCACATTACAGGTGAATGAGATGAAAATATCTTAAAATATTTTTTTTTGGGGTTTCTATCCAACGAAGTCCCTCATAACTTGCCTGAGTAGTAAAAAGAAGGATCTTTTAAAGGGATAAGTGGACCTAATTAAAATCTGGTAATTATTAATGTTTGGAGAGAAAATTGGGCTAGGTTTTTTTCTTTGAGCCCAAAAAAGAATCTGTTCGCTTTGAGGCTGTACTACAAACATTAAGGCATTTTGTAGCGAGAAGACTCCTTTAACCTTTTCCCATACGAATTGATTGTTTTATACATAGATAAACCTTTTTTGTTGGGTACAAATACAATATATATCATTCTACATACGAGGAGAGGAATATATCATTCATTCATTGACCATGGCAAAAGTCATGCTCATTGTCAAAGGATCGTTTCTCTGAAATGCTTGTTTGAATATAATTAAAAAAAGTTTAGTGCACGAGGTTCTGTATTGCAGGATCCGAGAAGGGTTAAATGTACACAAGTTTATCCCGGCAAGCAGAGAGACTGTTTTCGCATTTCAAACTTGTGATATTTAGGTCACAATAAAACAATCTTACCATTACTTGAATACATAGTTACTCCCATTAAAAGGAACTTTACACTATATTATACGATATAATTACAATCTGAATGAAGAAGTCGGAAGTAGTTCATCCCCTATGGGACCTTGCCGATAGTGAGGAAAAATACATTAAACTTTGTATAACATTGGTTGGAAAAACCACATCCCCAAGCTAAAACTATCTAGTTATCTCATAAGTTAAAATCTATAACGTATATGATAAATCTCAAATATATCAATTTTGGAGGTCCCTGTACTTTTCATTCTATGAAAAGTTGAGAGGTTCCTGGATATTTTGTTATATTATGTGGATTTTCTACTGAAACTTCAAGAGAGTTTTTTTTTTCTTCTCAAATTTGAGCCAATACTTGAATATTCAGATCTTGTTCACTGCTGGAGATCTACATGGTTAGTCACCTTATTTTTGGACACTTCCAATTCTCCTCTCAGCACTTCCATCGAGTCCGAAACCTCAGCCTTGTACTGATAAAATTTGGTCACAACCAAGTAGAAAATGAAGTTCAAAGAGCTTAAAATCGCGAGGAATGCGAAATAATGATCAAGACGAGAGGCATTAAGGTTATTGAGAATCCACCCTTTGTGGCCATGCTCCTTGGTGATGTGAGAAACTGTGGTGAGAATAAAACTGCTAAGAAAGTTCCCAATTCCTACACTGGTCATGGCATAAGAAGTTCCGAGGCTCTTCATGGTTTCGGGAGCTTGATCATAGAAGAACTCGATCTTTGCTACATCTGAACATGCATCAGCGACACCCATGAGCACAAATTGTGGAAGTAAGATGAAAATGGATATGGGTAATTGCCCTCCATTTTCGACCACGCCATGTTTTTTGGCCACGCTTAGCCTGTACCTCTCGGTTAATGAAGCTATGACCATGATAAGGATATGAAGTGACAATCCCATGCCTAATCTTTGAAGGAGAGTGATTCCTCTTGGGTTTCTAGTCCACTTTCGTACTATTTTGACAAAAGCACAGTCATACAACACGATACAGACAAGCATGGTGACAGTCACAAAAGCGCCTAGGCTGGCCGGGGAAGCTTGAAATGACCCATGCTTCTGTTGAGAGTAGTGCCTTGCTTGATGAAAAGAGTATTGCTTTGAGCTACCATTACACTTGGGAGGAATGTGGTAATTAAGATTGGTATCATTCGCAACATTTGCTTGGTTTCCTCGACTTCGGTTACTGAACATTGCATCCATGGATCCTTTGAACCTGTTTTTACACAAGCTTTGTTGAGGAACCTGCATCAATGTCTACATTCATTAGAAAATTTATGTTTTTTTTTTGTTGGTGCATTGATAAAAATGTCGGGCTAACAATCGTAATTTTCAAATGACCCAATTCCAATAAGTTCATCTCGAGTAAGAGTTATAGCCTGACCTAGGTCCATCAGTCGCAAATCCTAAGTTTTAATTACGAGTGAGTTTTACCTATTAATACTGTCACGACATGAATCAAACACAACATAAATTTAACAATAACAGGATTATTGGAATGAAGAATAAATGAGTTGAGTTAGTGTTAGACACGAATAACCCATTTTGTTGAAATTGCAAGATGAAAATGAGCATTTTTTTTATTGTTTTAAGGGTAAATTACATTCACTTTTCCTAAGGTTTGATCAAATAACAACTAGACCTTTCTTGTTTGGGAAATAACACTGATCACCCTTGTCAGTGATGTTCGTTCTATTTTTCTAACAACAACATAAAAATGACTATAATGTTCTCAACCCAAAAAATTCTTTACTTATTGTCCTTTAGTTAATTTTATAACATCCAATTGCAAATTGCCACATCGATATAATAGAATTAAAGGAAAAAAATTGCTTAATTAATATAATATAATTTATCCCAAATGAAAACTCGAACCAAATCTAAATCAATTCAATTAAATAGATTAATTATCTCAAAATTCAAATCAATTCCTATAATTTATTTAATTTTGTGCTAAAACTCAAATTTAGTTTGGAAACAAACTTAATTACCTAATAACCTAATATTTAATCACACGAAAAATGCATGGGCTACTCCGATGAAGCCATGATATGTGAGAGAGAGAGAGAGAGAGAGAGAGAGAGAGAGAGAGAGAGAGAGAGAGAGATGGGGCTGTGGACCAACCTTGGTGGTGTGGTTTGGAAGGCAATTTGTTTGGAAACTAGGTTTATCTACCAATACTAGATTTGACATGATAAGGGTAATATTGATATTTTAAAAAAAAACTAGTTGCTTACATCAACTGGTTTTTCACTTCCCTTTAACTACAAATTGATGGTTGGGAGAATCTGTTACCGACAACCAAAGCAGAAGGGAATGTATTGTTATTTTTTATATGTGAGGGGGTCTTGTTGTTATTTGACAAAACTTTAGAGGAGGTAGATATAATTTGCCCTTATTTTATTTCTTGCTCTAGTATTGGAGTATTGCTCTAGAATTAAACATTTTTTCTTAATACGAATATCGACTAGAACAAGATATGAACCGAAAATGACACGATTTGAATATGACACTACCTGAAATGACACAGTATGAAGATGAGATAGTATGACTTAATTGACACTTCTATTTTTAATCAGTAGAAAGAACAAAGAAATACAACTTTATAAGATTCATGCAAACCTGAAGGTGGGTGTGGACTCAATTTTGAACTTCCTTCTTTTGCTGTATTCTTCCAAGTCCAATTCATAGAGTTCAAGACGGTTAATAGGGACAGGTACCCTCCATTTTCTCAGGGCAGCCACTACAACCCTAGCCATCTTTGTAAATGGGCTTCCAGCGGGCTTCTTGTGCCTATAGAAGGGTGTGCCAACCAAGAAGATGGTAATGGATAAAGCCAACCCGGCTGCCGGAATCCCATAGCCCAAGGCCCAACCCACATTGTCTTGGATGTACACAACAATTGTGTTACCAAAGAGTACTCCGATGAAGATGCTCAACATCCACAAACTGAAGAAGGAGAGTTTTTGGGCTTTCTCTTTAGGGTCAAAATCATCGAATTGTCCAGCCCCGATTGTCGAGATGTTGGGCTTTGTCCCTCCCGTTGCGAAAGCTATAATGTAGAGGGCCGCATAGAACACTCCTAGTTCTAGTGTTGAGGCCTTTGGACAATCTGCTGCATTCACATCTTTGCATGGAGGTGGTCTTAGTCCGGGCAATGAAACTGCAAGTGTTAAGAGGCATATGCCCTGCAAAAGATTTAAGAAATTGGGTATTTTTTATAATTTTTTTTACATAATTTTATTTTATATTGTCAAGATAATATATATGCCCCCAAGTATATATAAATAACATAGCTATATATAAGCATATATGATTTTGAACAATATTTGAAGTGCGATCCGATGTGATATGTCTGTGAAAATAATCATTCTCTGTAATTCGTTGCGTCACAACGGGCTGACACCCTTGTCTAGTATTGATTGCTTGGGCTCATGAGGTATTTTTTCATTGAATTTGCCAAGGTATGTTCCATTTGGATTCTCTCATCTAGACCAAAACCCCACCTTGGTGTCTCACTGTTCAAGGCCACATGTCGTGCTCTGATACGAGTTTTATTTTGTATCTCGTAAAAATTGATGCTTTAATCGAGCCGAGTTTATTAAATTAGAGTATGTTTGAGTTTAGCTCTGTGTTGCATGGTCGAGATTAATTTTTTGTGAAAACTTAGAATGATATAAACTTGAAAGCATTCGAATTGAACTCGAGGCGAAATTGAGCTCAATTTCTCTACAAAACTTTTCAAAAAATACACCCTAAAACTTATAATAATACCAAAAATAACCAATCCAACAATAAAAACCTCTCCAAATCTGTATAATCAACTATAAAATCAAATCCCATAAGTTTAAATTTTTCAAAAATTTATTAGAGAAAAGAGAGAGAGAAAAATACATATGATTTGGAAGCTATTTGAGGATGATTTTGAGGTTATACATTTTTTGAATAGGGATTGTTTTGGAACACACCTAGAATTGTTTATAGATCAGTACTTTTTCGAGTCAAGTCGAGCCACAAAATGTTATAGCTCATGTTATTTATCAAACGGGCTTAAAAATCTAAACAAATGCTCATTATTTTGCAATTTAAACAAGTCTAAACGAATGAAAATCGAGTTGAATTTAAGCTAAGCTCAAACTCCTCTAATTATGTAACAACCCTAAAGATGTGTGGTATACTTGGGTGGTGGTCAAATCACTTGAACTTGTTGTGTATTAAGATACTCCTCATTTGTGTTGTTTGACCTCATGACCTTTTTATCTCTATAACTAGTATAAAACATGCAACTCAAAACTAATGGGAAATGAGTGTAGAGACAAGCAAGACTCCATACTAATTTAGTATTTAGAAATGGAAATAAGAGTCTAAAAGCCTCTTTAAACTTAATTATATCATATTAATCGCCTCCTTCTTTAAACACGAATCCGATAAAGAGGAGAATAACATAAATATTTATTTATAGTTCTCAAATAAATAGCAATCCTAGACAAAAATAGAAGGATGAATCACAATGACCTCACTTATTGTTTCTAGCATTTTCAATGCATCCCTGTTGTTTTTTAAACTATACTGACATCCCTTTGGATGTGACAGTCTGTATCAAATTCTCTTTCAACCGACAAAATATTAGGATAATGATGATGTAACTTTCCTATTTTACCCTCAAGTTGGATAACCCTATTTCGACCACATGATATTTTAAGCTCAAAAGATTTGTAGTAAAAAAAGAAAACAATCAATTATTTTTGAAGGTTATCCTCACATGCAGCAAGGGTTCTAGGCCTAAACCAACTATTAAAGGATTCTTGGGTCATAAGATGAATCTACTTGAACTATACAAAAGTTGGAAGAAATAGATTTGGTGAAATTAGGGGGGTAATTTGGGCGGGTTGAAAGGTCAATCCTAGCCAAATTTTAGATATATAATTTTCAACCCTAACCTTAATCCTAACTCAACTTAAGTACTGCCCGAGTTTAATTCAGGCGAGCTCGGGTTGAATTCGGGTTATTTAATTCTGGCTGATTTCAGGTTAAAAATCGGGTTGACTTGAGTTATTTAATTCAAGTTAATTTTTTGAAGTGTAGATTTAATTTTTTAAAGTGTAGATTTGATTTTTTCAAGTGATCTTAAATGAAGGGTGATTCGCAGATGAAGAGAGAGGGAGTGAGAGAAGGAGGAATGACGAGTGAGAGAATGAGGCTGAGAATGTGAGACGACTCAGATGAGTGACGACTGAGAGAGGGAGATTGAGAGAGGAAGGAATGACGAATGAGAGAAGGATTGAGAGTGATGGAGACACAGGGGTGAAGACTTGAAGTGAAGTGAAAATTTTGACTTTAAAGAGTGAAAATAAATACTAACCCTAGTTAAATATATTTATATATTTATGTATTTTCGGGTTCAACCCAATTTAATAATTGGACTCAACCCTATTTTAATATTTGGGTTGAACACTACAATCCGAGGCTTGCCCAATCCAATTATTAAATATTCGGGTTCAACCCGATTTAATTTTTAATATTTAGGTTGGAGTTTTTTTGCCTAGACCCAACCCAAGTGTTAAAAATTCTAACTTAAACTCTTTTTTTTCGGGTTGAGGTCGGGTTGAATTCGGGTTGGCTCGCCTAAGTTGCATCCCTAGGTGAAATGTGTGGCATGTAATGTATGGTTTCAAATATTTAGAGGTTTTTTTTTTTGGGGTCAGAATATAAAAAGACTTACCAAAAAAAAAAAAAAAAGAACAATAGAAGGGCAGCAATGTAACTTTACAAAAGCTATTAATGCCATTCAAGAGATTATGCTGATAAGGGGATCTCAGTGTAATTTTCAAAACAAGAAGGGGTGCTGTGAAAATGTCATAAACAACAAGGGATGTAATTATAATTTTCCCAAAATAGAATAGGAAGATCCATGGTTACAATGATACGTTGTATGTGACATACCGAGAGGTAGATTGCAGATGCAGTGACGAAAGTCCAGTAACGGCCTAGATGTGCATCAGCAACGTAGGCCCCCAAGATTGGAGTCATCCAGATGGCCCCAGTCCAATTTGTGACATTGTTGGAGGCAGTGACTGTGCCTTGATGGAGCATCCTGGTCAAGTACACTATCAGATTTGATGATATGCCACAGTAGGCCATACGTTCAAA